GTTTGTTCTTTATTGAAAAAATCGAATTTCATACGAAAATGAATACTATCGTATTTCATGTAACAACTCAAATTGGATACAAATAAACTGTCACAATTAGGCTTATCTATCAATAATATTACAATTTTTTTCAAGAGAAGATTAATAGATTCAGTAATGGGACGAGGAACAATGCTAAATTTGTCATTATCTATACTGTTTACTACAAAATTATTAGCTGCGTAGACCATAAAATCATCCATCACTGTTAGAGTTGGATCAGTTTCAATAACTTCCCATTTAGTTCCTGAAATAAATATAAAAATTAATCGACATTTGAATATGATTATTTATACTAAATAAGAAAATATGTCAATTCTGAGCCAGAAGGGGCCCAGAAGTTAATATATAAATTTCATAGCCAGATAATGGTGTATTTTTCAATAACTTCCGTTACACATCCAATAATTCTAAAATATTTACCGGTCGCTTCTTCAAACTTTTGAAGCATTTCATTATATGTCAAAATAGCGCCATAAACTCCAATATTACCATTGCGAGCTTCAGGTACTTTAAGCGACTCAACGGTATATCTACCAATATCTACTAATGAAGTGGTGTATATCTTCGTATTTCCATCTGCCAAGAATGTAGCTTTTTTATTCTTAATATCAAATCCAGACTTTTCAAGAAATTCAGTGAATATTCCAGTAGATATATGGGTATATTCAAGCCCACTCTTGTCTAATTCTTCCATGAATCTAAACTTGCCTTCAATAAATTGGTGTGGTTCAATCCTATAATAAAAAATATATATTTAAACAGCTACTAACAAAATTTTAAAACAAAAAAAAAATTAGAAAAGTACATGCAAAAAAAATTTATAAAAATATACCCATTATCTTTAAGAGCTGCCAGATCAAAACCAAAATCGGATGGGATGAATCTCTTCACACCTGCCTCTTTGGCAGCATTTAAAAGCGGCAATTGAACATCGTAAAAGCTACCGTTACCTCTTACAGCACTAATAAAAACATCGGTTCCTTTAATAGCTTTAATAAGATCACTTTTATCATTATAATCTGCATACACAATCTCTGCTCCTTTAGAAGCCAGTAAAGCGGCTTTCTCGTTTTTGTCTTCTGGTTTCCTCCTAAGAACCTTCACCTTATAGGATCCATCATTTAAAAAGGCTTCTGCAATATGAAGACCTGCAATACCTGTCGCTCCAGCAATAGTTACGGTATGAAATTGCAAGTTACTCATGGTAAGTTTGATATTATGGTTGTTGTTATTTTTGATTTTCGCAAATAAATTATTCTTTAATATATGTAATGTTCGTGATATGACCAATAGGCCCTTAATCAGTCCAATAAGACCTAAACAACTATACTGGTCTCATTTACATTCACCGACTTTTTTTTATGGTTTATGTATTCTGATTATGGATACAGAAATATTTACATACGTAATAATAATATCTTGGGTCGTTGGGTATTACACAGTGACCCAAGATATTATTAATTAATACCCTGACCTCTCACATGATAAAATACTTCGTTAGCTCGTACGTAATTAAATTCTTATATAATGATGTCAAATTAATTAATCATTGGCTCGTATATAATTAAACTTTTATATAATGATATCAAATTAATTAATAATTCAAATATCTTTCCTTTAAACATATTCATACTAAAAAAAAAAAACAAAAAAAAATGAACCGTTCTTTTACAAAAGCCACTGGTTTTTATTCTACGTATTGCAATTCATTCAAAAATCGTAAAAAAATTGAAAACCATCACAAGAAAAGCTTCAATTATACAAAAAAAAAACCACACCCAAAATACCCAAAAAAGTACTAGAACGTGGGCTAATCGATTCAAAGACTATATTAATGATGTTCAATCTAACTTCAACCTTGATACTTCTGAAGATAAAGTAACTATCATGCATCTTCTTTCTGAATTTATTATTCAAGTAAAACACTAAATGATTCAGTGCATTTATCCGATTCTATTTATGTTGGAATAAACACCATAAATTATTATTTGCAAACAACTTTTAAACATCAACCAACAAATTAATATTGCAAAGCTAGTAATACCACCTGGTACCCCAAAGGTACATTTAATTTAAATTTACACAATATAATAATATCTATTTACATATATTTATAAAATTTTTTATATTTACAGAATA